ACATAAAGAACACACAACATTTCTCAACATTGGATCTACGCAGTGGATATTGGAATATACTACTTGACACAGAATCACAACTGCTAACGACGTTTAGTACAATCTTTGGAAGATACTGTTTCACAAGATTGCCTTTTGGTCTGATATCCGCACAAGATGCGTTTCAAATCGACCTTGATAGAATCTTTGGACAAATAGATAATATACACTTTTTTAAAGATGACATACTGATTGCAGCTGAAACTAGCACAAAGCAGTGCAAGATGTTCTGAAGGCCTGTAGACACTACAATGTAAAGCTGAATGATGAGAAATGTCAGTTCCACCAGGATAAGGTAAAACTGTTCGGACTAGCTGTGGGTCCATAGCTCTGCTTGTGTCGATCTGATGTTATAATAAACGTACTTGAAATTTGTATGGTATTGTCGACACAGTAGAGCTATGGTGACAGCCATAGAGTTAGCTGTGGGTCCATAGCTCTGCTTGTGTCGATCTGATGTTATAATAAACGTACTTGAAATTTGTATGGTATTGTCGACACAGTAGAGCTATGGTGACAGCCATAGAGTACCATCCATGTTGACGCCGCAATAAAACCATTGCGCAAATAAACGATTCAAAATCATGCAATGTATTGTGAAAAACGACTCCAAACTAAGGTCGATAGATTGTACATTTATTAAATACTCACCACAGCAAGGATTGAAACTTAATAATTTCAAATAAAGCCCATTCACCCGAGTATTCTTGGACGGTCACGCTAAAACACAGCTTGTCGCCATCTTACACACACTGGACGAGGTCGGTATCACATGATCAATATGACGTCACGTTGTTGTCATTACGTAATGCGGTTAGGGATTCCCCAAGAATACTTGCGTAAGAAAGTAGCCCTTTCATGTTAGACTTGTCGGTACACCCGATAAACTAGACGTAATGGCAACATTAAATGATATAGTTTGTTCTTGGGAGAACACGTTCAATCGCATAAAACGTTCTTACAATCTGCATTATCATCTGAAACCCGAGCAAATTGATGTCATTACTCATATTTTGCGAAATGAAAATTGCTTTGCTGTGCTACCAACTGGATTTGGGAAAAGTATCTGTTACATGCTCCCACCAGTTTTGTTAAATGAAACAATCAGTGATAAACGGCATTACGGTTTGATTATATCGCCACTACGAAGCCTAATGTACGACCAGGTGCGTAGTTGCAATGCTATGGGCATTAAGTCATGCTGCATCACAAGGAAGAAAGATATGGATACAGAAACTATTGAAGGTACGTGAAATTTGTAATTGTCTCAAATTAATATTTTCTCAATGTTTTATCGAGATAGTAAAATTATTGAAACGTTAATAACTAGATTGGCCTCCTAGTTACTGAGACTGTATCATAGGTATAAAGAAAGGACTGTTTACACTTTTATTTATGTCGCCCGAAGCATTGTTATTTATTGACTCTTGGAGGCCAATTTTGCTTCAATCCAAAATCTACGGAGATTGAGTTTGTCTCATAGCCATAGATGAATGTCATGTCCTAGAATTATGGTAAGTATTTCCGAAGTTAAGTCTCCACAACTATATATTTAATTAATATATAATTATTTTTGTCGTTGTATTAGTATAATTGTAAACCAGCATTGTATTATTCTGATTTATTTTATTTAACAGGGGTGACGATTTCAGACCAACATACAGAATGTTAGGCGAACTACGAAGCCATTTTTCTTGTTCGTTTTTAATTCTGACGGCAATCTGCACGAATGTTATGAAACGTAACATTCTTAAACAATTGTACTTTGGAAACAAGCTGCATCTCATTTTCACCAAAGTGCCCGACAGGTAAATTAACCATTATACGTACATAAGATAATCGTCTCAATTTCGTTTCAATGTTGGACTTTACCTACGTATTTTCTAATATCGTGTAATTAAAGATGTGCGATATTATTACCTATTTCGCAATCTGACTGATTTACACAGAGTTAATTGTTAAATTAATTATTGAATTATTTAGGCCTAACATTAGTCTCTACTACAAGTTTGGCTCATTGTCCATTACTGAAGAGATGGCTTGGTATCTAAGGGAACTCAAAAGTGACGGCATCACAGCACGGAAAGCCATCATTTATGTCAGGTATATCATTTTTATACATATGTATAATAACAATAAACAGGTAGTTGATTGTTTTTTGAAAGTTTACAAACACGAGAACGTTTAAATGTAGATCTAATGTATAATATAATATAATATAATATAAATTTAGTAAATTACTGACTTTTCGACTTTTTCCTTGCAGAACCATCACTCAGTGTGGCAAAGTATTTGCTAATTTTATGGCCTACCTGGGAAATGCTGCTTATGGAGATGGAAGCAAAGTTATACAAAACCGAATTTTGGAAGTTTACCACGGGGCATTGGCCAGCACAGACCAGGAGAGAGTTGTTTCACGTTTCTCGCAGGATAATGTTTTAAGATGTATAATTTGCACTGGCGTTTGGGATGGGGGGTGAACATCCCAGATTTAAATATAGTTGTTCATTGGGGATGTAGTAACAGCATAGTTGAATACAGGCAGGAAGTAGGTCGTGTTGGGCGAAATGGTGATCCAGCGGAGGCACATTTATTTCCGCTGCCAAGAACGGTTTTACACGTTGAAGATGATATGAAATCACTCTGAACAACTTAAACATTCAAACATTCCATGTCTACGAGTCCACATTTTGGAACACCTCACTATTAAAGGAATGAATCCTCATATAATTGACGAGATAAAACATCGCAAGTCATGTGACATGAAATGTGAGTGTTGTGTTTGCCTCAATTGTAAGTGTTGCACAGCTTGTAAGCTTAAATGTCCATGTCGGGTCAATTAAACTCGCAGAGGTAGGCGTCGAAATACTGTCAAATTGCCATTTTTTTATTTTATTTTTGGGTTGTTGTTGTTGTTCAGCATGTTAGAATTATGTTATTGAGTTAAATCTTCACACGCAGATAGCAAATATGGCTACAGTGTTATGTTTATTGTGTACCCCAGTATTGTGACAACATTGTCTTTTCATCCTGTGGTATATTTAATATGCGAAATAAAATAAATGCTTCTTGGCAATGAAACATCGTTATATTCAGTTGTATTTATTTTCATCATCTTTTGGTGTCATCCTCTCGTGCGCGAGATTTACAAGTTCGACAATCAAGGATGAACTAAAATGATAAATCAATATTCTATTTGAAGCATTTCCCAGTATGATGCACACAAAAACTATTATTTCCTATGTTCGCGCTAATTGAACAATAATTCATAATGTGATTTAATAATAAACTCACTGTACTGAATGACTGCTTGAAAACTTATTTCATTTGTAATCGGCACCAGAAATTTAGATAATGATGTTTTTAGGTTTCACTCTGGTAAAAAAATAAAGCTGTGAACATATTTTCATCATAACGAAGGTATTGCTTGCTATAAAATAAGGTGAACGAAAAAGTAACCCAGCCAACAGTAAAGGAATATAGCTCACTGTTTGGCTAACAGAGTAGTAATATTTATTGTTCCAATGTAACAATCCGTAATCCAATCATGGGAAACAACTAATCCTGTGGAAGGATTTCCTTCAACAGGTCAAGGGTTCTACAGTGTGATTTCAGTCGGGATATTAACTTATCACCACTGTGAATGGCTACTTTATTTCGAAAGTTGGAAAATCGAGCGTGATACCGACCCGGAATTTGTTGAAATATGCCATCGTCTCTATACTCCTTTACAAATTTGGAGACGTCTCGTCTGTAATTAGCAGATGTAGTTTTAGATTTATGAACATATTCGTCCATAAATTTGGTCATGTAAACACATTCTAAGTCAGTGGCCAATCTTCCAACCAGCTGACTACATCTAGCAACATGGGTGTCTGTGTAGCGACCATGGCAGTGTTTTAGGTTCTCTGCAATGTATATGGAAATAAGCATTTGATTACTAATCATATATAACAAACGGGTGTAAATACAAATAGATATTTTCACACATAAACAACGGACACGTATATGCCGAAAGTATTGGTTGGGTTGATGTAAAAACATACATTCAGTTAGTAAAAAAAGACCTTTCACCATTCCTAATTGTACACTTACGTTTAAAGTCATTATTTAGAAACTCGTTAACAAGATCTAGCGGTATGTTGTTCCCAGCTCCTCCTTTCAGGTTAGCAGTGCTATTCCAAAGCATTTCTTCTCCTTGCCTTGGCGAAACATAACCATTTATACCTGAAGTAAACGTTGAATATATTAACCAATATTTACTTGTGAGGATCGCCAGTAATTGTAATCACATATTTGAAAGTTACTGAAAAAACGATAAAATAAACTTACATGCTAGCAATCTATGACCAATTATAAGATATTTATAATGGTTATTTTCCCAGAAATCTAACATTGAAACTCTCCAATTCGACATCATTGCGGGACCATCGTTTTCGCGTTCTGCATCTCTGTCATATGGAATAACCCTCTCCATAATACATGACAGGAGTAATTGAAGAGGTAGTCAGCACCGGTGTCCTGGTCTGGCTTTGATAAAGGCCCTTTAACTTGACAGTCATCTGAACAAAACCAAGAACCATCTAGTGGAAAATTTATCAACAGAAAATTATTATTATAAAAATATGTAGTTATGGGCCTATCAGCTTACCTGGGCATTGATTCAAACCAACACATCGCATATGAAACCATTCTCCATTAGGGCTGATGAACTCCTGTCACACCCTATCACTTATCATCAGTATCTTCTTTCTTTTTACAGAAACAATAAATTGATTGTTCACAAGTCCGGGCTACACCACCACTCGTCATCTGGTACAGATTCAGGTTGTAATTCAACACAATCGAGGTGGAACCATCTGCCTCTTTTACACTGTGAGAGTGCAGAACATTCAATCATGATCCCTCCTAGGTCTGTGAATAAAGGGGTGGTTTGTTATATTGTACTGAGTTCAGTAGTAGAATCTATCTTCCTATTGCATTGTTTCACAGATCACTATTCATGCACTTGTAGGTTTCAGTTTAGTCAACACCATACATGCACATACCTGTTTTACATACGCAATAATCATCATCATCATTATCAATGCATGGCTGTTGATCACTATCACTAAGTGGTACTTCATCTACATCCGGCCAAATAAAAGAAACTATTTCCTCAGCTAACTTTTCAACGTAGTCTTTCTGCTGGTCCAGTTGAATAGTCGGCTTATCACGTAGGCTGGTCAGTCTTCTTAAATGCATTGCCAATAGACAGGTATAGCCTTCGGTCATAAAGTTAAGAAAATCCACTGTGTGATTAACATCATCAATCACCTTCTTTTTCACTGCACGGTGACCAAACTTAATTTTGACATGGAATAAAGACCCACGTGCACTTGCCGAACTTCCACTGAATAGTTTGTTCATGGTGTCCTTCAAATAAAAGAAAAAATACACATGCATACATACATACATAATTTATAACATTATATTTATATTACGAGCATGTAACTACCCAGTATTTACCTGCATTGTGATGCACCTTTTGTGGAACTCCTGGGGCCTTGGTTCGAGCCCAACAAGACGATTGACATGGTCTTGGCTACATGCCATAGAAAACCTGGCATCAACCGTACGTTCAATTGATAATTGATCACCGTGACATACAACGTTATAGAGGGGTTTTCCATTTTGTGATGGTACATACTGTCCAAGATGTCGCATTATCTCAATCACACCTTTGCTGGAGGAAGGGTTGGCTTTTATTACACCAAGGTTAACCTGAAAAACGCAAATATATCAATATCCAGAGTAAGTATATAACCACTGACTTGGACGTAGTTAGAAATTTAAATCATATTCCATCATGCTATAGTCCGAGAAACCATCCGATTTATTGTTTGGACTGTTGTATATTACTGTACATTTCGGCCGTAGTATGGTGTCAATTTCCATTGACCCATTTCAAAACGTTACACTTCATATTGGTTTAAAGACTTTAACGTGAGTTTAGACTATAGTTAGAAATGTGTCAAGGTGGATATTTAGTGTGAAATGAGTGTAAAGTATCTATTTTAATTGTCATCATTTTACGACTAACTTTACTGCGACACAACTTAACACCATAATAGAGCAAGTTTAGTTTTGGGTGTGAATATTATGTGATATTGGGACTTACAATCTCACTCTTTAATCGTGACTCAGAAGAGTACTTGTGCGATATATGCCATTGTATTTGTGTGTCCTTGAAACACTCAAAGTTGCGCACAAGAATACGCTGAACTAGTGTTTTCATCCTTGTTCTTACTCGAGTCCAATCACTCTGTGAAGGCAAAAAAACCGCAACAGGGATATCGACTGCTTTTTTGGTCCTGATGTCATCGTAGTCGCGAAATGATATACGGTTTTTGGTAGCGAATGACAGTGCCCAGAGCATCATTTTATTTTTAACTTTCTGGGATTGGTGTCTGGCTTCAGAGAGCTTTTGAACGTTGTCCCAGCACAGACTGTATCCGGGTTCTACAGAAATATAGCAGAGAAGCAAAAATACATGTATATTACTGTAATGCAAGAGGGCCGATCTATCGGAAAATGCATACAGAATAAAAAAAAGTAGCATTAAAATGATACCTCTTACTAAAATCGGTGTAAGGGGTTGCTTGCCTGGACAAAATACAACATTTCTCAGGAACTCGCAAGTCGGACGGACGTCGTTAGGTTTTAGCTAGCATTAGACAATATATATTATCCTAAAATTGTGTCTCCTGCAATATTGAGGTCACTTATACCAAAATAAACACGTCATGTATATTCAAAAATAATATCTATGTGGGAAGCAATATAATGAATTCAACATGCCTCTTTCGAAAGTTTCTACGTCATCTTCAATATCACTGGCCCCATCTGGGCTCATTGAAACAGTCTTCATCGGATCCGTTAGTTGATTTGGTATGATCGCTCTCTGCCGATTCGTCAAACTCTGAGATCAAGGAAGAATGTACGCTATCGTCGGTGTGCACACTGCTGTCACAGTTTGCAGAGAGTTCATGCTAAAGAAAATTTGGATAATAAGAGTGATGTTACTGGTGATAAGAGGGGCGTACTGTAACACCAAAACCAGGCGTCACTAATATACGAAACTAAGACTATAATTATAAAAAGACGAAAACACAAACCTGAATATGTTGTTTCCAGATTATTATTTCACTATCGAATCCTTTACGTAAACGGTCAACATAGTTTCTTGTGGCATGTATCCCAATGCTCAGTCCGATCTTGTTAAACCATTTAAAAATCTGCGCAAAAAAACCAATTTCATTGATTCGTATTATCTGTACTTCGCTACGTAACACTCAGAAACATTGATATTGTATTATTACGAATAAAAATGTTTGTATACTGTTGAATGATTCGGTACATCTCAACAATATTAATACAAAAAACTAGTTTAGCAACTAACCTTTTGATTGCAGCCACTTCGGTACATTTGAAGTGCGTT